AATCCAAGCCAGGACTGCTTTGCAAGCGGGGCACCCCTGAGAACTGTCTGTCCGGGGTGGGGGTCGGGTCCCTTTAAGCACAGCCCTCGGCTAGCCTGAGACAGCAGCTCCACACTCTAAGTCCTCATCTGATGCCCTGCCGGCACTGCTTCCAGCCATCCTTAACCCCGGTTCAGGGTCCACTCTGTGTGGACATGCTAGTTCGAATTAGCAAAATGCTAATTCGAACTAGTTTTTTAGTCTGGATGCGTTAGTTCGAATTAGCTTAGTTCGAATTAACTAATTCGAACTAAGTTAGTTCGAATTAGCGCTGTAGTGTAGACATACCCCTAGATTCTAATCCAGCTAAATTATGCTAGTGACTGTGCGACTTCAGGCAATGTACATAACCTCAGCATGTCTCTGTTTATCCATTGACTTATTGTATCAAGTAAAAATTGCATTTGAAGAGGCTCTAAAAAAAGTGGAGGATAAGACTGTATTTGATAGAACGGCAGAAAAGGCAAAATGTGTGTTGTTCATATGTTTGTTGGCAATACCTGGTACCCAACAAAAACTACCAGATATATTTAGTCACTTTCAATGCAAATGTTAAGGTGTGTAGTGTGAATGCAGAGGAAAGTTTCAGGGATGTATATTGTCAAAGCCCTTCACACACAGCAAGGAGCAACCAGTTCTTAAAACAAATAAATACAATATAGGCATATGAGTATGCGGGAAGATAGTGCATACAAATGTTGTCTCTTCAGCTATAGTTGTTACAGAATAATAATACCTTAATATCCAGCTTCCGAGTCAATTTACATCCCCAGCGTATTGTATCTCTCTCACTATATAAAAATTTTTCCTGCAGGATGACAGAGTGACGTCATCATATCATTCTGTGTCCTGCCACCCTCAGCCACCCTGCCTCCTCCCTCCCTCCCCCCAGCCTCTTCCCCAGTGCTCCAATGAGGTAGGAGCTGCAAGGCCTCCCTCCTCCCCAGTGCTCTAGGAATGGGCAGCAGGTGGGCGTTGCGCAGCCTCCCCATCCCTAGTGCTCTAGGGAGGCAGTAGCCATGAGCCACATGCCCTCCCCCCACCCTCAGCCCATTCACACACCCTCGGCCAAGACCCTGCACACCCAGCCCCCTCACTCACACCCTCCACCGAAACCCCCTCACACACACCCTCTGGAGGTGTGGGGTCTCAGTGGAGGTGTGACGAGTCTGGGGGTGTGGGGTCTTGGCATTTACTCATAGCACAACAAGCTAAGACCCCGCACCCACAGCTCCCTCACTCATCCTCACAAGATCTCACACCCCCAGCCTCCTCGCACACCCCCTCCACTGAGACCCCGCACCACCAGCCCACTCCTACTCCCTTCTCCTGGCCAGACACCTGCCTCCAGCCTGCTCCTGCACCCTCCCCTCAGCCAGACACCTACCCACAGAGAGAGGGGGCTGGCAAGTGTAGCAAGTAGGGGGCGCAGCCCTCTAGTATAATATATGAATAATTCATTGTGTTAACAAATGAAGCCCATAATACAATTACATCATTTAATGAGCTGTAGCTTAACCTGTTGTACAGAGATAATAGAAATAACTTAGAAATGCTTTGTCATAAGAGTAGGATTAGACAATAACTAACTGTAATTTTCTTTCAGAAACTGCAAAACCAAAGTCCACAGAAGATGACAGTGAATTAGACATATCAGCCCTGTGTCCTAAGGTGACTGGATTTTAGTTAACTCCTTCCATTTATGTAAAAAAGCACTGAAGAGCATGAAGACTTCTCAGGGTCTCTATGCTCCATGAAAGAGTAACTTCTTTCCCATAATTCCATTGTGACCAGGAACTCAGCCATGTGCATCACATCATGTTCTAAGAGTATGTCTAGAGTACATGCCTCTGCCGACAGAGGCATGTAAAATAGGCTACCCAACATAATCAATGAAGCAGGGATTTAAATATCCCCAGCTTCATTAAAATAAAAATGGCCACCGTGCTGTGCTGGCTCAGCTGATCGTCCGCATAGCACACGAGTCAAGACACGGATCGGTCCACAAGGGAAGCCTTTGTTGACCGCTCTTGTAAACCTCATTTCATGAGGCAAAAGGGAGCGGTCGACAAAGGTTTCCTTTGTCGACCAAGCCATTTCTTGACTCACGCACTGTGCCGACGATCAGCTGAGCTGGCACAGCGCAGCGGCCATTTTTATTTTAATGAAGTCGGGGATATTTAAATCCCTGCTTCATTGACTATGTCCGGTAGCCTATTTTACATGATTCTGTTGGCAGAGGCATGTAATCTAGACATACCCAAAGTGACTCATTATCTTCATCCTGAGAATTTGAACCAGAACCTAATTACATCTATGACTACAAGTCTCCCAAATGTCTGTGGCTCTCTGAGTTATTTATCTGGGGAAGCTACGTCTGTTCTAACATGTTACCACCCCTATGGTATTTGCAGCATAAGGACTATTCCAGAAATTCACAGCAACTGACTTTATGCCACTTCTCTGGGGTGCAGATGCAGATTCTTCTTATTACAGTAACTCTAAAGGAACAACTGACATCATTATAAAGCAAATTAAGTCTGCTATTTGCAGTGCCCCTTCTCTAACTTCAAAATAAGATGAGAAACATTCTTCTTTCAGTAGTGTCCCTGTGGGTGCTCCACTGTAGGCGTCTGCATCCCTGCACTGCTGGTCAGACAACTTCATTTGCAATGTCTGTTCAGTCTGCACATGCCCTGTCTTTCCTCACGTTGTGCCAAGAGGCTAGCAAGTGTGCCTGAGCTATCTGTCCTCAGTTCTTTCTCAACCACCCTGGCTTTTAGCTGTCTATTGACAGATCATTAACTGGTCTACAATTGCTGATTTTTGGCTTCCTCTGAAACCTCTTATTTGCTTTCCTTTGGTTATTGGAGGGAGGGAGGGAGGGAGGAAGGAAGGACTTTGTTCTTTTATCAACCCCAGTGTGTGAGAAACCCTCTTCCAACTTCTCCCCTCCGAAAAAAGGGTATGCTCAACTCCTTGGGATTCAAGAAATGCCACATTTACCCCAGTGTGATCCCTGTTGCAAACAGTTTCAGTGCATCCATTACCTCAGCAAAATGTATCCTCTGCCAGCATCTGTGACTGAGATCTCTCAAGGATAGAGACCTTTGCCAAAACACGTCTTCATGAAGGCAGCTCTTCAACTTCAGCCTTCCGGTGAATGTGAGTCTTCCCCACAGTCTTCAACTTCAAAGGACAGTGGGTTGAAGAAATGGACTGGTAACTCCTCTTTCAAGTGAAAAAGGAGAGTGGGAAGTCCTCTCAGAACACACCCTAGGAAAACACCCTCTTGGTCAACCTCAGTACTGCCAGCAGCAGCAGTCCGCCTGGCACCAGAGAGACCAGTACAGATTAAGTCTCCATCTCCATCAGCACAGACACCAGAAGGAGACTGACATGGAGGAAGATGTAATGTGTTCTCTAAAGACTTATTTTCTTCCCCCCACACAGTGGTCTGCTTTCTCGATTGTCCATAGTAGACAATTTCCATCCACTGGAGGAGGCCACCTTCTTGATATTCTCCTTTCCTCATCTTTCTTCAAGATTGCCCTCCCAATTAATTAAGCCATCTTGTCACATCCTGATTGGACTACTGCAATGCACTTTACCTGCCTTTGAAGAGTCTTCGGAAACTTCAACTGGTACAGAATGTGGCTGCTTGAGTTTTAACTTGCTATATGGAGCACATTATGCCAGTGCTCCAGCAGTTGCTCTGCCTTCTGATATGTTTCCAGGCACAATTCAAAGTCCTGGTTATGACCTATAAAGCCCTAAACAGTTTGGGACCAGGGTACTTGAAGGACCATTTCTTCCTGTATGAACCTGCCTGGGGATTAAGATCAGCTGGGCAGGTTCTGCTCAGTGGAGTCTGTGTATTGCATAAGGGATACACCTGCAGGCGATCTACCTTCCAGGTTCCTGCAAAACCCTAGCGGACCGCCTCAGCTGGGCCTTCTCGGCACACGAATGGTTCGTCAAAACAGAGGTGGTATGCTCTCTCTTCCACAGGTGGGGAACTCCCCTACTAGACCTCTTTGCTTCTCAGGCCAACAAGAAATGCCCCAAGTTTTTCTCTTACAGGGTCCAAGGCAGGGGTTCAATGGGAGATGCCCTGGTAGAGAGGTGACCAGTGGGCCTCCTGTATGCCTTTCCCCCCTTCCCCTTAATTCACTGCTTGGACTGGCAAAGTACTACTCTTTCAGACAAGCACTGCACTGTGTGTGACACCTGGAGAGCGCAGGAGCAAGAAAGAAATGAAACAGGATTTTAAAGAACAAACTTGCAAAAATATGCAAGAACTCTGGCTTAACATGGGTATAAGCACTCCTGATTGCCCTAATGAGCATGAGAGCCACTCCTAATCAGAAAACTGGACTCAGTCCACATGAGATTGCATGTGGCCGACCTATGAGACTGTTAAGCAGCCCAGACATTAACCTGGCTGATGCCACACTTGTTAAAGGAAGCATAGTCAAGTATTGTCAGGAACTTATGAGGTGTGTGTATAGTCTTATCATTCACAGATTAAGGACGCCTTCTAGGAGTCCCTGACTGAGCCGTGCCTTAAACTACAACCAGGAAGCTAGGTTCACCAGCGAAAGACTGCCCTGGAACCCAGGTGAAAGGGTCCCTACCAAATCCTTCTTACCACTCATAGGGTATGTCTACACTACCACCCTAGTTCGAACTAGGGTGGTAGTGTAGACATACCCTATGAGTGGTAAGAAGGATTTGGTAGGGACCCTTTCACCTGGGTTCCAGGGCAGTCTTTCGCTGGTGAACCTAGCTTCCTGGTTGTAGTTTAAGGCACGGCTCAGTCAGGGACTCCTAGAAGGCGTCCTTAATCTGTGAATGATAAGACTATACACACACCTCATAAGTTCCTGACAATACTTGACTATGCTTCCTTTAACAAGTGTGGCATCAGCCAGGTTAATGTCTGGGCTGCTTAACAGTCTCATAGGTCGGCCACATGCAATCTCATGTGGACTGAGTCCAGTTTTCTGATTAGGAGTGGCTCTCATGCTCATTAGGGCAATCAGGAGTGCTTATACCCATGTTAAGCCAGAGTTCTTGCATATTTTTGCAAGTTTGTTCTTTAAAATCCTGTTTCATTTCTTTCTTGCTCCTGCGCTCTCCAGGTGTCACACACAGTGCAGTGCTTGTCTGAAAGAGTAGTACTTTGCCAGTTTTTTAACAATTTGTCCAGTAAAGTGGGTACCTCTATCACTGGAGATCACAAGGTGTATTCCCCATGATGGGATGTAACGATTTAGAAGTGTGGGGTTTTTTCCCCCACTGTGATGGCATCAGTTTTCCTGCAGGGATAAGCTTCTACTCATTTCAAAAACAAGCAAACAATAACCAGCACATTATTAAAAGATTGACATTTAGGCAACTGAATAAAGTCCATTTGTAAATTCAGAAATGGTCCCAGAGGCGGAGGTCTGGTTGCCGGAACTGTCTTTACAGGTTTACTCACATTGTAGGCTTGGCAGACAGGGCAAGCCAGACAGTAATCTTTGGCTGCTTGAGAGAATTTAGGAGCAAACTAATTTTGTTTTAGGGTTGCTACAATCCCCCCTTTTGCCAACGTGCGACAATTTAGGGAGCACGGAGGCAAGGTGAGGTAGCAAGACCACTGGGGCAACAATGTGGCCATCAGAGCTGCACCACAAGTGGTCTGGGTGCAAGGTGCACCCTGCCAGTTTCCACTCCTGCTTTTCCGATTCTGGGGCTTGGTCTTGCAGGAGGGCCAGTTCTGAAAGAGACGGCGTAGGAGCTGGCGATGGTAGGAGAGAAGGGAAAAACAGTAGGTAGAGGAGCAGATTTCACTACATTCTAGACAATACAAACTGTATAGCCTGCTACTAAAACTCCACTAGAATTGTAAAAGCAAGAACCGTTTGTGTAAAGCACAAAGTTAAGATTATTCAAGGGACTTAAATTATTTTCATTAAAACAACAATATTGTACACACAACGTTTGAAATACATATATCAAAATCAAGACCCACAAGACAAATCTGGACAGAACACAGAACACAAACTTATTATGTCATGACACAGAACCATGGGTTTTTTTTTTTCCTCTTCAGTTAATTTTCAGCTGATATTAGCGCTTCTTGATGATCTGAAAGACAAAGAAAACACTTGTACCCCCATTGGGGTGGCCCATTATAACTTAAAATACTGCCTAAGATCTGCTAGGGGAACCGGTTACAGCTAGCTACTTACCACTTCTATGGGCAAGTGAGCTGCAACTTTCCGAGAACAAGGGCGTTTCATCGGTACTTGTGACTTTCCACTCCCTTGAATTACCTCAGAGATGCTAGCCTTCTCCAACAGGCATGCCTCAGTTTCCCTCTTGTACTGCAGACTAGGCTTTTTATTTATTTATTTATTTTTCTTTAATGTGAAGCTTCAAATGATTTACTGCCATAGAAACTCTTAGAACAAGGTGCTTGCTAGTTACTATTCCTGTAAGCAAAAAGGTTTTCTTTTCCTGAAAAGAATCACATGTAATGTTACAAGTTTACTTATGGGGGGACAGTGCTCCTCCCCCTTCCACAACAGACAGGCAGTTTGCAGACACACACAACATTGGATCTGAAAGCAAGCTAAAAGTGCTATCAACTCAGCTTTGAACAGAAACACAGTGAAGTTTCTGGGCTTGGATTTTTTTAAACAATAATTAGTTTCCTTGGAAGACACATTTAACCCTTAGGGTGCAGGTTTTACAAATTTACAATTTATAGATTCTATTCTTTTATGCGGTTAACCAATTAAGTTTCAGTAGAATTCCTTACTTTCCCTTTAATAGATTTAACAAAGTGTCTGTAGCCAAATGTTTAACTTGACTGTTTCTTTGCTGAGATGACCAAAAGAGACTACAAGAAACAAGGAGTCATTTCTTAAAGCAGTTTTTTTCTTTTTTTCCTCCCCTTTAGGATTTGGAGGAACACTTTCTTTAAACTATTAAACTTATTTTAAACTTTGTGTTTTGCTTTGGATCGGGCAAGTTTGTTATAGGAGCACGTGTTTTCAAAGGGAAGAGCTAATTCCTTTCAGTTATTTTTCATGTTTCCTCTCTATCTGTGTATGCATTATAAAGAGGGATAGAGGGGTGATGTTGTGCCAAATTTCTCCCCCAATCTTGGTTGATACGGGTGTGCCAACTGAGAAATCTCTTCTTTTTTTTCCCAACTTCTTGTGCATTATTTTGGCACAGAGGTGCTGCAGCAACTTTTAAGTTACATATCTTACTGCAGGGAGGATTTTTGCTTTTCTGAGCTTTACTTTTATCCCTCAGGGCTTTAATTTTTTCCTCTTTTCCAATTTGTTAAATGCTTACAGGTCCTTGGACCATTATGCACGTACATGTAGTACACAGGGGTGCCTTTTGGCAGTGTGGAGGGTGTTTAGACTAACCCCCACCTAAGCTAACTCTACACACTCTAAAGAAAGAGTCTGCTGGGTCTAGAATGTCAGACCTTAACAGCTCATGAAATAAGGGGAGTCATCACTCCCTCACATATCCGCTGAGTCTCAAGGTTCATCTGGCCCCCCTCCTTTGTGTTCAGAGCTCCCTCTTGGGAGAGCCCTGGTGCAGCTGGGATCAGCTCAAGTCTCAGACCTATGCAGCAGCATTCATTTTTCACTCATTACATTCATACTCATTTTTCACACACAAAATTTTTCTCCTTTTTCACATTTTTCCTGCAGTTTCCACATTTAGATGCATCTTTATTGTCCAATTCCCATGGATGTTTCTATTAAGTGGCGCTGCCCTAAGACACTTAATATCAGACTTTGTTAGGATCCTATACCAGAAGGCACTTATCATAAAGGCACTGGAATTCCTGTAGACTGACCTATTCCAATTTTCTGCGCGTGCTTTAACAGAGTTTGTAAAGCACCGAACCAAAAGTCCGCTTGCTTACACTATTTTCTTGCGAGTCACTGAATCAGAGTCACTGAATCAGAATCGCCTGCTCGCTCTGTGAGTCACCGAATCAGAATTCGCCTGCTTGCTCTGCGAGTCACCGAATTAAGAAGAATTCGCCTGCTCGCTCTGATCCCTCCCCTTTTTTTGTTGTGAGACGCTGGACCAAAATCCACCCACTCACAGGGGTTTCCGGCACCCACCCCAGCCCGACAGAACACCACGTCCTGGTGCCTGGAGACAGCCTGGCAGAATGGGGAAATACTATGGCCTTGGGTTAGCCTCAGAGGTCAGTACTACGTCCACAAATAACAGAGAGACAACAAAGCTTTCCCACAGTTCCATGTGCCGAGAGAGTGTAATGGCACCACACCAGCTTTTAGCGTCCGAACACAGAGGGTCCAGTGCATGGCTGCCTCACTAGAGACACCAGTGTGCCCTTTTGGAACTGTGATACATAAGACAGGCCTAATAGACAAAGACAGACACAGACAGACAAAGTGTTAGCCGCTCCACAAAATTGAATTCTGTAACTCCTCTTACCCCAATGGCCGGCCGTCACTCCAAATCCTAAGTCCTCGCCAGGAGATTTCATAACAAGTATCCCCTTACCTTCTATTGAGCGTTCTGAGAGGTTTGGGAGTGGAGTGCTGGTCCGTCCATACGGGCAAGTGGCACGTTAGGAATCTCGGTGGAACCTCCAAATTGTCAAAGCAAAAGCCTCATTCAGTTTACGCGGCTAAACAGACAGTTTTATTGGCCAATAAAAGCAAAGTGAGCCAGACATGGTCCAAGCAAAGCCAGGCTGAGTGAGGCTGGCTAATACAATCAATTCTAGTATTTTATACCCTTAACCAAACAAGTCTGACATCAGGGCAAGAAATCAAAGCGAACTTCAAAGAGGAATTATTATCAGAGAAAAACAGGTTTAGAGGGAGTTCGAGCTTCAGCTCAAAATAGTTCAACAACACATTCCAACAGCGCATCCTTCTGGCCTCTCCCCACCTCGGTGAAGGCCATTTCACTCCCTCTAGTATACGTGCAGACACAGAGAAACTGAAATGGCTTTTGTTATACAGAATGGCTTCTAGCTAAATATGAAATGGTTTCTACAGGTGTTTTCCCATTCTTGCTTAACATAGTCTGATTTCAAGTGGTGGGGAACGAGGCTGAAGTACCAAGGAGTGATAAAATCAGAGGCCTCAAAATGCGTTATAAAATTGCATAACTTCAAACATATCACACCCCTAGATATATCTACAAGGGAGCTTCCTAACTCAGGTAGACAAATATACTAGCTCTGCAGAAGCTAGTCTCTAAAATATAGAAGTGTAACCAGGCAATATCTTGGGCTAGTAAGCCTGAGTACAAACTTGCCCAGCCCCCTTCTGTACCTATTTAGGTAGGTAGCCTAAAATGCCATCAGTGTTACCCCCAGCTATTTATTTGAGTACATTAGCAGTGAATCTACACAACAGGGTTTAACTCAAAATAAGATATGCAAATTGAGTTATGTCAATTGTGTAGCTTACTTCGAAATAGCTTACCATATTTTCCGGCGTATAAGGCGACTGGGCGTATAAGACGACCCCCTAATTTTTTAGTTAAAAGATAGGTTTTCGTCTTATACCCCAGCGCCCCTCCACCTCCCCGGCTTTGCTCCCGGTGTCCCTGGTCTGCTGGAGACGGTCCCCAGCAGACCAGAGGCAC